ATAATTTATAAAAGTGTCAATATCTATTGAAATCTACACTTTTTGTAAAATAAAAAAGAGGAAATTCTCTTCACACATAAAGCACTTCAGCAAGATGAAAACGGTCCTAATAATAAACAAAAAGAAAATTATGGGGGGTGGAGGCAACTGAAGAACGGAGACGTTGCACTTTTGTGAGCTTTGGGCCTTAAAGGCGAAAAATCTTTAGAACAATACCATTAATTATACTATTCTGGTATATAGTGCTATTTTAGCTGCAGAAGAGATTTTTTCCATCAGCAAAATATTTTTTACCATAAAACTATATTAGTAGACCAGGTTCATTCTTCCAGAAATACCCTAAAGGAGTTATTATTATTATTATTATTATTATTGGTATTTATATAGCACCAACTTATTCCGCAGTGCTTTATAATAGAAGGGTAATTTACCAAATGAGACAATAACAAAGCTTACAGTCTAGAGGAGGTTGGGTATAAAAACACAATAGGAAGGGTGTTGAGAGAGACAGCAAATAAACATGGTAAGAAAGTAGCAGAGCTGGAGGTGAGAGTGGAGTTTCACCCTATAGGAGAGAGCGAGAGGAAGGTTTGAGAGATAGAAGTTACTCTTGGAGGCCATAAGCATTCCTGAAAAGATGGGTTTTGATGGACTTATTTAAGGATTGAAGACTGGGGGAGAGTCTGACAGGGGTAGGCAGGCTGTTCCAAAGGAAAGGAGCCATCCATGAGAAGTCTTGCAGGCGTGAATTTGCAGTAAGGGTGTGAACAGCAGAAAGGAGAAGGTCACCAGTAGAGTGGAGAGTCCGAGAGGGTCATACCTATTGTGGCGGAACCAACCTCGCCACTATGCACTGGAGAAGCCTGGTTGCCAGCCTCCTGCCATGTGACTATGGCCCCTGGGATGTATTGCCCTTTAAAGACATGATTTGGGCATAATGGATTTGTGTTGTGCTGCTGCTAGGCCTTTTAAGAACCATCTGGGGACATACTGTGTCGTTACTGGGTGGCCACCATTTCCTGTATCAGAAGCACATGGTGAGAACAATGGATGGCGGCCATTTTAACTCACAGACACTGTGTGGACTTTTCAACACGGTGCCATCTCGCCAGTATTTGTTGCACAGAGACATCGTGCGGTGGTTTTGGACTATACAGCAGGGGACACATTATACAGTGATTGTTTTTATTTAGCCTGTATATGTTCTGCAGAATCTGCATTAAACTGTATTTTCCAAAGTACTGAACGGATCTGGGTGAATTTTGGATATGTGGTTCACCCAGATCCCCCAGTTCCAAGGATATACTTTATGGGGTTATTGCATGTTTTGGGGTCCCTGTGATGTGTTTTATGAAACTGTATTTATCTGGCTGTGATAATTAGATTACCCATTGTGTTCAGTAATCATATCACAGCCAGAGGGGAGGATTTTGTGTGGGAGTGTCTGGGTGTATTGTATGGATTGATTGGCTGTTTTGTAACGCCCTGTGGGCTGTACTATGTTTGTGGATTGGGAATAAAAGAGACTGTATGTGACAGTACAGGGAGTTCCTGTTTTAACCCTCAAAGTGAAGTGTCGTCTCATTATTGGGGGAAGGATTCATTGTATGCTGTTCCAGTTTGACTGCTAGGAGAGTAAACCTATTCGTATGGTTCCTATTCAACTGTCTACAGCGTTCATATGCTTGGGAGAATTTATTTGTTTCTCCAGTTCGGTGATTGTGGTGTCTGCTGCAGTGCTTGGAGTCCTCAGGAAGCGCTAGGAGCATCCTTCAACGGAGGTACCCAGTCGGGGTGCCAGGTGATCCGTTACATTGGTGGCAGCTGTGGGATGGCGTCCTAGTGCGAGGTAAAGCAGCTCGGAGACACAGTTTGTGGATTTACAAATTGAGGGCAACGCTAGTACCCGTACAGCGACCCTATCTACAAAAGAACTAACTTCAGCAGAGCAAGCATGGCGTATGACTACACTCAGGAGGAGTTTGACAAAGAGGTTAATGAGGTGCTGTCTACCTTTGGACCCAACCCCCCAGAGAGAGCCGTGCAGCTCGCCAGGAAACTAGTAGGAGAATACCTGCAATCTCTAGTAGATTTGGCCAAAAAGGAGTCCCAGGGAGCCAAAGGTGTCGTCCTTCCTCCCAGCGGCAGTGTGTACCCCAGGGAGCAGAAGGTGTTGTCCTTCCTCCCCAGCGGCAGTGTGTGTCCCAGGGAGCTGAAGGTGCCGTCCTTCCTCCCCAGCGGCAGTGTGTATCCCAGGGAGCTGAAGGTGTCGTCCTTCCTCCCCAGCGGCAGTGTGTACCCCAGGGAGCAGAAGGTGCTGTCCTTCCTCCCCAGCGGCAGTGTGTATCCCAGGGAGCTGAAAGAGTCGTCCTTCCTCCCCAGCGGCAGTGTGTACCCCAGGGAGCAGAAGGTGCTGTCCTTCCTCCCCAGCGGCAGTGTGTACCCCAGGGAGCTGAAGGTGCCGTCCTTCCTCCCCAGTGGCAGTGTGAGTCCCAGGGAGCCAAAGGTGTCGTCCTTCTTCCCCAGCAGCAGTGTGTACCCCAGGGAGCAGAAGGTGCCGTCCTTCCTCCCCCGCGGCAGTGTGTATCCCAGGGAGCTGAAGGTGTCGTCCTTCCTCCCCAGCGGCAGTATGTATCCCAGGGAGCTGAAGGTGCCGTACTTCCTCCCCAGCGGCAGTGTGTCCTGCAGGAAGCGGAGACAGTCGGTCTCGCTCCCCAGCAGCAGGACAATATATTAAAAGGGGAGACAGTTGGTCCCCCTCTCCAACAGCAGAGAGTGTTCCAGGGAGAGGAACCAGTTATCACCTCTCCCCAGCAACAGGACAAATTATTGAAAGGGGAGACAGTCGGTCTCCCCCTTCAACAGCAGAGAGAGTGTCAGGGAGAGGAGCTTGTTATCCCCTCTCCCCAGCGGCTGAAAGTATGTATGGGAGAGGAGCTTGTTACCCCCTCTCCCCAGCGGCAGCTTAGCCCACCAAGGGGAGACAGTAATCTCCACAACAGTGCAGATGGGACAGTGGTCTCTGCACATTCACCACCGGGGGTAGGGACAGTCGGTCCTGTCCCCCAGCAGCAGGACTGTTTAGGAAAAGGGGAGACAGTCTGTCTCCCCCTCCAGCAACCAGGCTCCAACCAGACTACTCCCGTGGTAGTGCTGGCACCAGGACAGAGTACCGCTGGTCTCTGCCCACTCAGCAACCCACCCAGTACGCTTACCAGTCACCCACACAGCCATGGTGAGGCACCTGGACACGGACAAAGTTCTCCTCTACCCAGGTGTAGTAGCCAGTTATTGTGGGTGGGCTGTATTACTGATTGTGTTTTGTGGGTGGGCTGCTGGACTAACAAGGGCACTGACCGGCAGGAGGTCAGATACCCTGTTAGTCTGATTGGTAAAGGGGAGAAGTGTGGCGGAACCAACCTCGCCACTATGCACTGGAGAAGCCTGGTTGCCAGCCTCCTGCCATGTGACTATGGCCCCTGGGATGTATTGCCCTTTAAAGACATGATTTGGGCATAATGGATTTGTGTTGTGCTGCTGCTAGCCCTTTTAAGAACCATCTGGGGACATACTGTGGAGTTACTGGGTGGCCACCATTTCCTGTATCAGAAGCACATGGTGAGAACAATGGATGGCGGCCATTTTAACTCACAGACACTGTGTGGACTTTTCAACACGGTGCCATCTCGCCAGTATTTGTTGCACAGAGACATCGTGCGGTGGTTTTGGACTATACAGCAGGGGACACATTATACAGTGATTGTTTTTTATTTAGCCTGTATATGTTCTGCAGAATCTGCATTAAACTGTATTTTCCAAAGTACTGAACGGATCTGGGTGAATTTTGGATATGTGGTTCACCCAGATCCCCCAGTTCCAAGGATATACTTTTATGGGGTTATTGCATGTTTTGGGGTCCCTGTGATGTGTTTTATGAAACTGTATTTATCTGGCTGTGATAATTAGATTACCCATTGTGTTCAGTAATCATATCACAGCCAGAGGGGAGGATTTTGTGTGGGAGTGTCTGGGTGTATTGTATGGATTGATTGGCTGTTTTGTAACGCCCTGTGGGCTGTACTAAGTTTGTGGATTGGGAATAAAAGAGACTGTATGTAACAGTACAGGGAGTTCCTGTTTTAACCCTCAAAGTGAAGTGTCGTCTCATTATTGGGGGAAGGATTCATTGTATGCTGTTCCAGTTTGACTGCTAGGAGAGTAAACCTATTCATATGGTTCCTATTCAACTGTCTACAGCGTTCATATGCTTGGGAGAATTTATTTGTTTCTCCAGTTCGGTGATTGTGGTGTCTGCTGCAGTGCTTGGAGTCCTCAGGAAGCGGTAGGAGCATCCTTCAACGGAGGTACCCAGTCGGGGTGCCAGGTGATCCGTTACACCTATGAATCAGTGAAGAAATGTAAGAGGGGCTAGAGTTGACTAGAGCTTTATAGGTAAGGGTTAGCATTTTAAATTGATACCTGTAGGGGTCAGGAAGCCAATGTAAGGATCGACAGAGGGGTGAGGTGTGAGTGGAGTGACAGGAGAGAAAGATCAGCCTGGCAACAGCATTCACCACAGATTGTAGGGGGACAGTATGGCTTCTGGGGAGACCAGTTAGGAGAGAATTACAGTAATCAATGTGAGAGATTACTAGAGCATGAACAAGCTCCTTGACAGCATCTTGTGTAAGAAAGGAGTATATGTGGGCAATGTTTTTAAGTTGGAGCAAACTCTATACACCAGATAAGATAGATATAAAAGCAGGCAATATTACCATATGGCTGTAATGTCCTAAAAATAGAAAATAAGGAACATAGTATAGCCTGTATAAAATATACAAAAAATAATTAAGTGTAAAATTGTCCACTCACGTGGTACTGAGCCGTTCAGTGGCTCAGACTATAAGCGCCTTGTAAAAATTATGGAGACCACAATGCTGGAAAGGCAAATCACTGTGAAAATTCCCTTTTGTGACTGAATGGAAAGTCGAGTCAGGAAATGCAGGAACAAATTTTATTCGCCAACAATCGCATATAAAATGGAATCTCTCAAATTATTGCACTAACGCGTTTCAACCTAAGCGGTCTTTATCAAAGTGCTAACAATGTCAAACAAATTAAACATTTAAATATAGTTACAAAAAGGCGCGCTGTGATTTCTTTTCCGGTTCACTTCCGGATTTCGGCTGTCCGACCTCCAACTTCCGGTCACGTTGCGTTACGTCTCTTCAAACACTTCCGGGTCAGCGGACAGTGTTTCTCTTGCGTTCCAGTACGTCTTCAATCTCAGTCATTATTTCCGGCTTCCGGTCATGTGGCCTATCACGGGATACTTTCGGGCAACAATCATAACTCCCTTACATATCAATAAAATCCCGATCTTAAATAAAATAAATATTTACTCCAAATGTCTTTGATTAATATGTCCATACATATATCCATCGAGCATATATTTAAAATAAGAGTAAATAAATACACAAATATAAAAATAATCACTCTATCAATTTATCATATATACACTATAAAAATAGTATAAAAAATAAAAAATAGTATCTCTAAAAAGATAAAATAGAGCTCATAAACAATACAGGGATATATATATGAGGAGAGAAAAAGGGGGAGAGAAAATAATAGTAGATTAAAATACATAATATAATTATAATACATCTAAAAAATATATTATAAAAAGGGAGTAATTTCAAAATCCACATTCAAACCATCAGGAGTCAGGGTATTGAGGTTAAACATCCACCTCATTTCTGCTTTGCTTAAAATATTATCTTTACAACCCCCTCTCCAATGGACTTTAATTTTTTCTATGCCTATGAATTGAAGTACCTCTGGGTTACCATTATGGTGGTCTAAAAAGTGCTTCGAAACGCTATGATTAATAAATTTTTTCTTTATATTATTAATATGTTCCCCTATTCTGACTTTCAGTTTTCTTATCGTTTTACCCACATAATGATAACCGCATGGACAAGTTAAGAGGTATATAACATTGGTTGTATTGCACGTAATTAATGAATGTATTTTATATTCATCCACTGGATTGTTATTCGAAGAAAAAGTCTTAATATTCCTCCTTATAATCTTATTTAATCTGCATCCAGTGCAATCTCCACAATGATAAAAGCCTATTTGTCCACCTAAAAAATTATTTATATCCTTTTTTACTTTTTTCTCCAAAAAACTTTTAGTTAAAATTTGTCTAAAATTTTGTGCTCCTCTAAAAATAAATTGGGGTCTATCTCCTAAATAGACCCCAATTTATTTTTAGAGGAGCACGAAATTTTAGACAAATTTTAACTAAAAGTTTTTTGGAGAAAAAAGTAAAAAAGGATATAAATAATTTTTTAGGTGGACAAATAGGCTTTTATCATTGTGGAGATTGCACTGGATGCAGATTAAATAAGATTATAAGGAGGAATATTAAGACTTTTTCTTCGAATAACAATCCAGTGGATGAATATAAAATACATTCATTAATTACGTGCAATACAACCAATGTTATATACCTCTTAACTTGTCCATGCGGTTATCATTATGTGGGTAAAACGATAAGAAAACTGAAAGTCAGAATAGGGGAACATATTAATAATATAAAGAAAAAATTTATTAATCATAGCGTTTCGAAGCACTTTTTAGACCACCATAATGGTAACCCAGAGGTACTTCAATTCATAGGCATAGAAAAAATTAAAGTCCATTGGAGAGGGGGTTGTAAAGATAATATTTTAAGCAAAGCAGAAATGAGGTGGATGTTTAACCTCAATACCCTGACTCCTGATGGTTTGAATGTGGATTTTGAAATTACTCCCTTTTTATAATATATTTTTTAGATGTATTATAATTATATTATGTATTTTAATCTACTATTATTTTCTCTCCCCCTTTTTCTCTCCTCATATATATATCCCTGTATTGTTTATGAGCTCTATTTTATCTTTTTAGAGATACTATTTTTTATTTTTTATACTATTTTTATAGTGTATATATGATAAATTGATAGAGTGATTATTTTTATATTTGTGTATTTATTTACTCTTATTTTAAATATATGCTCGATGGATATATGTATGGACATATTAATCAAAGACATTTGGAGTAAATATTTATTTTATTTAAGATCGGGATTTTATTGATATGTAAGGGAGTTATGATTGTTGCCCGAAAGTATCCCGTGATAGGCCACATGACCGGAAGCCGGAAATAATGACTGAGATTGAAGACGTACTGGAACGCAAGAGAAACACTGTCCGCTGACCCGGAAGTGTTTGAAGTGACGTAACGCAACGTGACCGGAAGTTGGAGGTCGGACAGCCGAAATCCGGAAGTGAACCGGAAAAGAAATCACAGCGCGCCTTTTTGTAACTATATTTAAATGTTTAATTTGTTTGACTTTGTTAGCACTTTGATAAAGACCGCTTAGGTTGAAACGCGTTAGTGCAATAATTTGAGAGATTCCATTTTATATGCGATTGTTGGCGAATAAAATTTGTTCCTGCATTTCCTGACTCGACTTTCCATCCAGTCACAAAAGGGAATTTTCACAGTGATTTGCCTTTCCAGCATTGTGGTCTCCATAATTTTTACAAGGCGCTTATAGTCTGAGCCACTGAACGGCTCAGTACCACGTGAGTGGACAATTTTACACTTAATTATTTTTTGTATATTTTATACAGGCTATACTATGTTCCTTATTTTCTATTTTTAGGACATTACAGCCATATGGTAATATTACCTGCTTTTATATCTATCTTATCTGGTGTATAGAGTTTGCTCTCACTATATTATTATTGTATTGTATGGTTCTCTGTGTGATTTGGAGTGACTCACACTTGGTGATTTGAGCATTTTTTATCAATTTTTCCTTTCTAAAATTGTGTCTTATATAAAATGTTTTTAAGTTGGAATTGACAGGTTTTTAGCAACAGACTGGACATGAGTTGCAAAGGTGAGGCCAGGATCAAAAGTGACACCAAGACAATGAGCTTGAAAGGATGGCGTGAGGCAGGTACCGTCAACCTGCAGGGAGAGTGAAGGAGGAGGATCAGTGTTATGAGGATGAAAAATAAGAAATTTAGGATTAGAGAGATTGAGTTTCAGAAAACGGGAGGACATCCAATCAGAGATAGAAGAATTGGCAATTGGTGATATATATATATATATATATATATATATATATATATAAATATAAATGATATATATATATATATATATATATATATATATATATATATATATATATATATATATATAGCATTACAAAGACCCATTTTTGTGTTGAAATGTTGCTCAGAACATTTAGTTCCACCAAATGTGTCTCTTATTGAGCTCTGGAGTGATCACCTTTATTTTTGGATTTACTTATATGTAAAAGTTGTGTGAAATATCTGAAGATCACATGCATGGATGCCTATATCTAATAAAAGCCAGAAAAAGAGCAATTTTCTCCATAGTGGGTTGATACATATCCATAGTGGGTTGATACATAACCAAATTCCTCATGGAAAAAGCTCCTTTATACCTAATGTGATGGGAGCATGGTCAGACCATGCCATAGAGCCAATGGAAATAGAGCATACATCCGGAGAGTGGATGAAAAATCAATTAATTTTACAAAGGGTACACAAACCAATCACAGACATAAACCTTTAAACACCCAAAATTACATCACAATCCCTCTTCTCTATCCTGGAGATAATTGGGAAGTAATCCAATTATCTCCCAGGACAGAGGCAAAACTCCATTAACCACATGGCAGTAAAAAGACATAAAAATTTATAACTGTGCAGCCATTGCATAAAACAGGTACATTCAGATAGCTTAGATCTGAGCGCACATTATTACCGAATGGCGCTCAGATCACATACATACAGTTCAATCTCCATGGAGCCAAAGTCTTTCACATAGTCTTTCGGTATACGAATAGGCTCCATGGCATAGTTATCTGGGGTAACACTGTTCACACATTAAAATACCGAATGGACCGGTATTTGGCTAGATGGCTGAAGGCAGAAGAAGGGAGATCGGCGGCTCAGCAGTGTTCGCGCATTCAAGTGTCCGTTTTGAGTTCCACAGGTTTGGAGCTGAACACCGCTGGCCATTCGGAACTTTAAGATGGCCGCTGCCATGTGTTCGGCTCTTTGAACAGCGGCCACCCAGCGTTCATCAATTAAGCTGCGGTTAACCACAGCTTCTGGGAGGTAAATCACTGGCACACTCCTTACCCAGGTGGTCCATTCATTCATGAGTTGGTTCGGTAGATTCAATCTATCGAACACCCAGGCAGAAAGGCACGAACAAGCTTTTTGGCAGGGGAAAATACAAGCTTTTAACATGGGGCCATAGTCCAGAGGCAGCAGGCAAGCAACCAGACTTCTCCAGAACTTAGTGGCGAGGTTGGTTTTGTCACATCACATATCACACATAGTCATCACACCTATCACATACACAGATAACACATACATTACATCACATTATAGTGAGATGTATTACAGTGGAGCTCTTGTATATAAAATGCACATTACTCTGTTTTATAGTTAGGGAGCTCGGTGATACACTAATAGACACATTACTTAGAGTTGTATTGTTGTGTACTGTATGATCTTGTCACAGAGCTCCACATTACTGGGAGTTTTATTGTTGTGAAGCTCTGTGATAAATGGAGAAGTAGCGCATTACTACAAATTTTTATTTCAAAGAGGTCAAGGTAAATAAGTATAATCCAGAGCTCCAAAGCAAAATCACTCACATTATTATGTGACATACTTAGTCTGCTCCTTTGTAATGTAGGGGAGGCAGTCTGGCACTTCTGGCCTGCACTTCTGTTTGCTGCAGACCATAAGTAGCTGTCTTCCTAGCTCGGGATAATCAGAGAGCTACCGTAGATTACCACAGGACACTGCAAGTCCCTGAGCTTGCGAGACGGTTACGCATGGTCTGTACCCACTGGAGGGGCAGACCAGATTCAGATCAGCATGCCCCTGTCCCAACTAGGTAACAACAGGAAAGAAGGAATTAATATTTGTTTTTAAATCATTAGTAATTTAATAAATCCCCTATACAATCACTACAGTTTTATACACACACACTATACATGGATGACTGGGGTGGGGCGGTGTGAAGATTTTTTGCACAGGGCACCTAAAGCCCTAAGGCCGGCCCTGATTTCAGCACCCAGAAAACAGCTTACTGTGTGTAAGAATTTGATGGATCTCAAACTGTTTACTAGACTATGGTCCTGTGGTAATGTATGAAAAGCCATGGAACCAGAGGATTTTGACTAAACATATTACATAGTTACTGAATATATTATTTGTTCAGTCCAAGTGGATATTTAGTCAAGCCATGATTAGTATAATAAAGTATAAATTAATAAACATGGGGCAGATTTTTGATCATTGGTCATCAATTAATTTTTATCTTTTTTTGCCTTCTTTTGGATCAACAGCATAAAATTATATGTTTAATGGGTAATCTTGATGGACCCGTGTCTTTTTTAAATGTAGAAAATGTTGATTTCCATGTAGTTTATTAGTATCTATTATTATCTTTCTCTGCCTAATGTCCTCTCTAATTTAGGTCTCAAAGTTGTAGCCAGGGTAAGTATCTCAAATTTACTTTTCATAGAATGCATACACACATAGTCTTGTTGGTTTTCTTGACACAAATGTTTTGCCACAATCCATTTGAGAAAACATACACAAGATTAGAAATGTTAAAATGTTACCACTTAAATTATTCAGTGGTACTGCACATATCACATAGGTTGTGCAAGTTGACTTAAAGGACCACTATAGGCACCCAGAACACTTCAGCTTAATGAAGTGGTCCGGGTGCCAGGTCCAGCTAGGGTTAACCATTTTTTCTCTAAACATAGCAGTTTAAGAGAAACTGATATGTTTATATTAGGGTTAATCCAGCCTCTAGTGGCTGTCTCATTGACAGCCGCTAGAGGCGCTTGCGTGCTTCTCACTGTGATTTTCACAGTGAGAAGACGCCAGCGTCCATAGGAAAGCATTGTGAATGCTTTCCTATGAGACTGGCTAAATGCACGCGCATGCGTATTCAGCCGTGGAGGAGGAGAGGAGGAGGAGAGCTTCCCGCCCGGCGCTGGAGAAAGAGGTAAGTTTAACCCCTTCCTCACCCTAGAGCCCGGCGAGGGGGACCCTGAGGGTGGGGGCACCCTCAGGGCACTAGAGTGCCAGGAAATTGAGTATATTTTCCTGGCACTATAGTGGTCCTTTAAAGATTGCATCGAGCCCTTGTTACCGGACAATCTGAATACCAATGTTTGGATTAATATAGTAGATACAAATTATGTCTGTTTGACA